CTATGCTACACCAGTTGTTAAAGATGATTGTCACCCTGTTTGTGCAATTCTTCAGACACTGTTGTAGGACATAAAACGTTATCTAAAGTTTCTATCACCGACTAAGCTTCACACCATGATGACTTTTCCTCTGCGTTGGGCTCCAAAGTCCAGAAGCTACAGGCTGTGCTTATACGTTTTAAACAGCCCCAGCACACATCAAACTCTTTGGAAACAGTAGGTCCATAGTCATGTGACTTGGGTTTGGGGCTCTCACTTGTCCATATAAACTGAACAGATCATATATTAGAAACAGAGGACCACACTGCAGATACTGTGCACCTGCTGTGTGCCGGACACTGTTAGACCCTGGATGTGAAGAGAACAAGCTGACAGGAGCGCATGGTGTAGCCCACCCCCACAAGCTCTCATAAGCTCATCTCCTTCTTGCCAGGTAGCATCAGAATATACCCAGAGGTACCTGGAGTTCTTTGTCCATTTGCAGGTAATCATTGTACCAATCAGGTAGAGGTATTTCTATGTTTCCTCAGTACGTTTGCAGTGAAGAGTTTACTTTCCATGTGAAAGAAACAGAAGAGCCTTGGGCAGTCATCTTCCATTTCAACAGCCCCAAAGATACATGCGCGTCCCTTCAAATGTAACTGAATAGACACACCTACATTCAACCAGACCAATGGACACACAGACACATTTAGGCAAACCAGGACACACCCATATTCAACCAAAGACACACCCATCTTCAACCAGACCATTGGACACACCTATATTCAACCAGACCAGTAGACACAAACACATTTAGCCAGAGCAGTGGAACCACAGTGGACACACTCAGATTCACCCAGACCAGGACACAATCACATTCAACCAGACCAGTGGACATACCCATTTTCAACCAGAGCAGAGTGCACCCATATTCAACCAGATCAAAGATAGGGGCTGTTTTAGGCATGAGCTACTCTTTATTCATAGACTCACAGAACATAGAGAACTAAGAGGCATTGTCATTTGTTAACTCGAGTTACCAAAAATGAAGAAAAAGAAAAGAAAAAGTGCTCCACATATATACAGCCTTAAAATGCATCCATGGTAGCTTGCATACTGCAACATTTGCTTTCATATACATATAAACTACTCTGATTTTACCTAAGCTATGCATTTAAAAGACATAAAAATGATGCCAAATGGCATATTGGCCTATTTTTGTCACAGTCTGATACATTCCTGATAGTCAGAGGGAAGGATAGGGAATGCATAGTTTCCTACTAGGAAACACAAAACAAAAACACAAACAACAAAATGCTGGATTCTTAGAGATGGGTGGCTGTTCTTGGGCTCAGATTTCAGTAGCATTACAAGGTCATTCATTCTATCGATCAGCATTACAATTGTGCCCCCTCTCGAATAGAATAATTAAAACCAAAACCAAACTCACTACCATCCAGTCAAAGCCCAGAGGACCCCCTGTGGCTTTCCCCTGTGGGAGTGGAGACCCCAGTTGGGATGTTGTTAATGTGCCTGGACATCCATGGGGGAGGGGAGGGGCACGCTAAGGAAACCGTCACATTTCTGTTGGTTTGTTTTTATTTCTACCCCCTAAGAGTGTCCTCCACAGCCCTTGGCCTTGGTCTTCAATCCACCTTCTTCACATGGCCCCCACCTCATGTCATCATCCAATTCCTTGGGCCAGCCCCTAGATTGGAATGTTGAAAAACCTCCAGGCACGATCTAATTCAAGAGCTCTCTTCGAACAGGAACCCCAGCTCAAGCAGTATGCAAATAGGCTCCCTCCCTGCAGACCTGCCTCTTGCTTTTATTAGACTGAAGGGGGTGGGGAGCAGAAACTTCCATCATGTGAGCCCCCCCACCCTGACTTCGGCAGCCCCTTGTTTTTCCCAAGATCACCCCGCCTCACACTCCACAGGGAAGAAAAGGGACCACAGGGCCATTTCAGCCCAGGCACCCAAAGACAAGCTGTTATTACCATGCGTGTACTTGGGTTGTCCCTTTTCCCCTCGCCACCCTCGGCTGGACTCTGTGAGAATACCAGGAATCACATGTTAGCAACCCTACCATGGGGGATGCTCACATTTCATGGGAGGTAGGGGACTGCTGAGGGCCCCGCCACTCCAGCCCCGGGCCCTCTTCGGGACAACAGATGGTCATCAGCCGCCTCTGGGAGAGCAGACTGTCAGGATCCGGCCTTGCAGACCATAGCACTGCCCTTGTGTCTATTGGTGGCTCAATGGACCACCGGGTTGGGTGGGCGTCTCTCCGGGAGGACTTCCCGATCGGAGATGCCATCATCCATCCGGACAATTTCATCCCCAGGTGCTGCTCTCTTCAAAAGCGCAGTTCAATCAGAGAGGCCTGGGAAGAGAAACGCTGGACCAAGGCTCTGCTGGGGGGAGGGAGGCGGGGGTAACCTCTAACTGGCATGTTGGAGGTTCTGGGTCAGGTCGCTGCTCTCTGAAGTGGCGGCAACACTGACCAACCAAACAGAAAAGCTGAGGATGGAGCAACAAAATGAACACACGGGCACACCGAAAATTAAGACGGCTTGGCCTCTGTGCAGGGTGGCCTCATTAGCCGCTGCCGGGGATGGCAGGGCTCTCAAGACCTCCCTGTGGTTGCGGCTGAGGGTTTTTTACAGAGATCTAGCTGCTCCCCACGCCACGGAGGCTGGGGTGAAATGCTTGCCACACAACTGCGCGGCGAGATTTTATCTGGGGGTCTCACCACGAAGATGAGGAGGAGGAGGAACACACAGAGAAGATGATCCCCATGAGGTTGGAGGGGTGTGTGTGTGCAAGCGCAGCCCCCTCCCCGAGGCGATGTCCACGGTGGGTGGGGGGTGGGGGGGAGGGCTGCCCTAAATAGTCCTCTTTGGTTGGGGGAGGGGTTGGTGGCTGTTTATTTGCTTCCCCTTTTTTTCCTGGAAGGAAGTGTCTTGCAGAAAAGGGTTTAAAACGTCAGGGATTCTTGAGAGGCAGCAGTAAGATTGATGGAGCCGCAAGTGCGTCCGCCACCTCCTGCCAAAGGCCTCTTTCGCCGTGAGTTCAGTTGGCCAAAACCAACCTCTCCTCTCTCAGCACAGGTGTGCCGGTGGCAAACCAGAATCTTACAGCAACTTAAAAGCAAAAACACAAACACTCACCCACCCTCTTTTCTGGCCCGTGGTTTAGATCTTTCTCTTGCCTGTGGACCCTATTAAGATCACCCCCCCACCCCACCCCAATGCAAGCTTCACACAGCTGGGTCCCCAGCTTCGCTGGATTGTGCTATGGGAGATGCTGGGTTCAGCCTCAGTGCCCCCACCTTCACACTCCCCAGGTAAGGTGGGGAGGTGGGGATGCTCACAGAGGCAGCGCCGTAACAAGATGGCCCAGTTGCTTCTCATTGAGAGGCCGGGACTAGGAGCATTGTTCCAACCTGGCACAAGGGCTGGAATGTTCTCAGTGTCTCCCGCTCCGCTGGCCGGGGCCCTGTTGTTTTCCGCCCAGGCTTGTCGGAGGGGTTCCTCGGGCCAGGAAGCAGTGCTTGCCCATCCTTATGGCCAGAGGCTGCCCCACTTTCGGCTCCAGGGTGGGAAGAAGCGGACATTTGTACTCCATTCACATCAGCCCAGGACACAGAAGAGAGATCTGTGTACCTGAAAGCAAGGCAAACCAACCCCACTGCTGTGTCCCCTGGGTGCCTCGCTGAAAGTCAATGTTCAGCCATAACCATGAAGCTGGGGGGCGGGGGCAGGGGTGAGTTAGTGCATCACAACCCTTGGTTCCCCAAAGCGCTGATGATGTAACATCGGTATGTCCTTCCCCTGAGCACCTTCACTGCCTGGGTCTGCGACACCGAGCGCCAGGGAGCTATCAACGCCTCCTTCCTATTTGTGCCCAACCATTGACCTATTCGTGACTTGGCAAACGGCGTTGAAGCAAAAAATAAAACACAACAAAGTAAGGATGCTGGTACAATATGAGGGTGCTGATTTCAGGCCTGCCCAAAGGGGTTGGCTCACAAGAGCTACTCCTCCAAACCTTCTTTTGAGACAACTCTGCAGAGAACCAGCATCCCTGGATCCCTGCCCCAAGCCAGAGTCCAGGAGCTTCCCACTGGTCTTCCGCGGGCCACCTGGTTTAGGGGAGCCAGCTCGTGGGGTTCCAAGTCGGGGCTCTTCTAGACCAGTCTGAGACCCCGGACCTGTACAATACAGGACCCCTGTGAGAGTGGACGGACCCCGGGGTTTCCCTTTGCCAACGTGCAGGGAGATGAAGGCGCAGGGGTCTGAGCGGCTGTTCTAACCATAGGCTGGTAGGCGGGAGGGCTGGCCCTCAATGACTGACACACTCATCTGTGGAGAGGTCAAGGTCCTGCGGAATTCCCAGGAGATGTGGTCAAAGTCCCCGTTAGCCCCACAGCATCTCACTTCAAAACTCCCGCCCAATCAATGCTCATCAAACGGGTGTACCTCTTCCACCGCAGAAAAGGAAGGGGGTGCGGGGGAGCACCGTTCAGTCTTGGGGCTGGCCACTGAGTGACCCACCAACTCAAAAGACTAGTTCAGAGAGGCAGAGATGGCCCCGGGGCCAGCCAATGAACATTCTTGCTCCGGCCACCAACAACGGCTGGGCTCTGAACCCCAAGGCAGAGAGAAACCCTCCTGCGTCTCGCTCCTGGGCCCATGGGCCAGGCTGGCCAGGTGGTGACACCAGGTTATTATGGTCACGGAGGTTGAGGGGGAGACTTCAACTATGAACTTGGGGACCCAGCCGGCCCAGCGTCCACAGGAGCCATGGAAGCCGCTGCAATCCAGAAGACTGGCTGTCCCTTTCAGGGACATGGGCTAGACTTGGGAGTAGGCGGGGAAGGGGGGTGGTGGGGGGGACTTGGGGGCTCTGAACTCATCACCAGCGAATCTTCCTCAGCTGACTTTAATTTTTAAGCTTTTCTCTCCAAAAGACCGCTACCATGGAGGGAGAAAGACCCCCACACCCAGTCAGGAGTTCGTTTGTTGGCTAGTGGGCTTTTGCCACATCTTTTATTTCATTCAAAGAGTTGCCCTATCTGCTCCAATGTTCTCCCTCCTCATTGAAGACAGAGAGAGGGAAAGGAGGGGAGGGAGGGGAGGGGAGAACAGAGAGGAGGAGAAGGGGGTAGAGGAGGAGAGGGGAATAAAGCACATGACCTCCCTAGATGGTAAGCATTAATGCGAGACTCTTTTTTTTCTCACTAATTACAGGGTCGTAAGATGTTGGTTTAAGATGGTGGAATGGACATAGCATGCATCTAGCCAGTGAATGCAGTCCCTGATTAAGATCCGAGTTCTAAGCGTTTGGGAAACTGCTAACTCCATGCCCTACCCCCTGCTCCTTCTGGTCCCCACCCATCGTCCCTCGCTCTCTTCCAGAGAGCTTGGTCTGAGCCGGGCTGGCCTCGTCTCCCCGCACCCACCTTCACAAGCTCAGGTCAACGACGATGTGTTCGAAAATCTTCGTTTTCCCTTTGAAACTGGAGGCGAAGAAGAAATCCCTCCTGTCGGTGGAGACGGCCGTGAAGGAGCGCGGTGCCTGCACATAGATCTCCTTGAACTTGACGAAGAGCTGCTTCTCCTGGTCCCACTGGTAGATCTGGGAGAAGGTATAGTCACTGCCCAGGGCCAGGTAGTGGTTCTCTTTGAAGGAAAAGGGCTGTAGGGTCATGGCCCCCCGGGAGGGCAGTGCCTGGATCTCCACAAACTGCTTTCCGTTCCACCGCATGACCCTCGAGTCCCCGATGAAGCGCGTGAGGGACAGGTAGAGGCTGTTGTGCATCTTGAAGCTCTTCACGGCCAGCACGTCCTCCATGTTCGGGATGTCGCCGTGGGGGACAAACTTCTTCGAGCTCTTGTTCCACTGCAGGATGATGGGGACCTGGGAACGGCTGGACAGGATGAGGTGGGACTTTCCATCGATGTCCACAAACTCTGCATCCGTGTCCCGGAACCACTCGTGCAGCGACTGGTAGGAGTAGAAGCCTTTGGTGTTCCACTTGTACACGGTCGACAGGCCGGCCTTGGAGCTGTCAGCGATGACGAAGAACGTCTCAGCGTCGATCTGAAACAGCTCGATGTCGTTGGGCTTGGAGATGCGGGACACTTCTATGTCTTGGAACTTGACGAACTTGGTCCAGCTGTCGTCATACTTGTAAATGTGGGAGCCGCCGAAGAGCTGGGCGACCACCACAAACACCTGGTCCTCGATGAGGATGGCCTTGCAGCCCACGATGGACTGACCTGCTCTCCAACAGAGAAGAAGGGGGTTATAAGGATCGCCGACGGTCACAGCACTGGGGGTAATAAGGAGAACCATCCCTGCCCATTCCCAAGTTTACATTCACACAAAAATATGGAACAGGACCTGATTCGGAAATTCGAGTCTTTGCACAGGTGGAATTAGTCAAGATGAGGTCATACTGGATTCCACCAACCATCAGTCATTCTGACCTACTGTGTGGTCATAGGTGTTGTGGTGATGATGCTGGAAACTGTCCCACCAGTGTCTCAATCCCAAGTAGAGTTGCTCAGGATGACAGGTTCCAACCGAGGCTCCAGACTAAGACTAGGAAGAAAATCTACTTCTGAAACTCAATACTAGTGGAAACTCTACTGAGGACAAATACCGTCCAAATCCATCCTCAGGAAGGACTGACCACGGAAGAAGGGCTTCATGTTTGGTTGGTCCAGGAGACAGTCACAAAAATGAAGAAAAGCCTCAATGAGATGGACAGACACCGTACACACTACAATACCCTCAAGCAGACCCAAGCATGGGAAGATGGCGCAGAACCCACAATGTTTTGTTCTGTTGAATATTCCAGGAAGAAGCAGAATGGTGTGGTGTAAACCTTATGCCTCCAGACCATGGAGTCCACAGTCAAAACTGTTGTACATACCTTCTGACCCTGGCCGGAAAACTGAACTCTCTAAAATGAGATGGATGGTGTTAACAGATCTGACCTGCGAGGGTTCCAGTAAAGATGTGGTGCGATCCCCCATGGCGAGCGACTAGTGCAGAGCTGGCCCACTGGAAAAGCAGAAAGCCAAACCCACTGCCATCGAGTCAAGACGGATGCACAGTGACCCTTAGGGCAGGGTAGAACTGCCCCTGTGCAATTCTGAGACAGTAACTCTTTGTCTTCCTCTTCCCACAGAACACTGGTGGTTTCAAACTGCTGACCTTGCAGTTAGCAGCCCACCTCATCACCGCTATGCCAGCAGGTGTCTACTGACCTCTTCCAATGGGCCAAGGAGCCCAGGTGGCACAGTGGTTACCCAAGATCAGCAGGTCAAAAACGCCAGCTGCTCAGCTGGAGAAAGACAGGCTTTCTACTAAAGCATTACAGTCGCAGAAACTCTTGGGGGCAGTTCTACCCTGTGTTACAGGGTCACTCTGAGCCAGCATCAACTGGAAGGCAGTGAGATCAGTTTTCAGTTTATCATCCTTGGAAGGACCCCTGGTGATTCAATGGTTACACTTTCATCTGCTAATAAAAAAAGTCAGTGGTTCAAATCCATCAGCCATTCCACTAGAAAAAGAAGAAACTCATGGGGGACATTCCACCCTGCCCTATAGGATTGCTACAAGTGAAAATTAACTACATGGCATTGGGTTTTGTGTGTGTGTGTGTGTGTGTGTGTGTGTGTGTGATGAGCAATTATGTAACTGAATGATGAAACTTGAGCCCCACAAATCAAAGACATGGTGAGCATAGGAAGAAATGCTGTCAGGGTGAGTATAGGAGCAGTGCTGTCAGGGT